TTTAATAATTAAATAATAGATAAGCTTATATAAAAAATTTATACACAAATTTTCACTAAATTTTTTTTATCTTGATTGCACAATAGGAGGTAACAATCTCTTATCCCTTATCCTACTCCACTCGTATGTCATGCGATTTAAATTCAAAATCTCTTATTTTTAACGAAAAGTTTAGGTTGTTGGCAAAATTTTCACTAAATTATTTTACTTTTCCAAAACGTATATAGACCAAACATTCAATTTAATGATTGTTTTCCTTTCCCAATTCCCACCGGTATAGATTCTCAGATGTAAGACTAGCTCTACGGGTCAAGAAAGAGGCTTGTGTGCGCACAGTTAACGTGTGTGCGTTTTAAAACTAATTTAAAGGCTAGATTTGTGGGTTCAGATTCATTTGGAGTCTGGCAAGACGGCATACCAATTCTCACATGAAAGACTAGCAATTTTAATTCAAACACAACTTGAACACGTCAAAATTCGGTCCAAATACAAACTTTCATATAATAGAAAGAAATTAATAATACATTAATTAACTTCATTTGGTAGTGCTATTTGTATCCATCAAGGACATAGCTTATTCATACCACATAGATTAATTTCCACGACATTCTCTAATGCAAAATACATATAGTTAATTAATAAGGCTTCTGGCCAACGTAGTTGCCCGGGGGATCATAGTTGCAACTAATCAAAGTCCCACCAGTGTTGCAACTCACCTTAGCACACCCCAAGCGGACTGAGTTTCGCCACACAACCTGAGTATAGTGTCCACAAACCTTATTTGGGGCGCAACTATTGGAATTGTAGTCATAGTCGGACTTCTCATTAACCCACATCGCGACAGCATCCGTGCCAGATAAGCCGGCGCTGCTCCATGCAAGGTTCTCACCATAAGGACCACCTGAGTGCACCATGTTGCAGTCACCAATGTGCTGGCTGAGATAGTTCTGTGCATAGGCTGCAACGGTATCATCCCAAGACATGGGGCCCACGTTGACGGTAGCACGAGCAGCGTTGTGGGCGTTGAGGTAGTCTTGTGGTGAGTCTTGGGCATGGGAGGGGATGACAAGGGCTAGGGCCAGGAGACAAGCGAGAGCCATAGAAACGTTGGAAATCTTCATTATGGCTTATAGAAGAAATGAAAATATCTTTGAGTTGGGTTTGAGGCACTGAATCAATGAATTAGAGGGGTATTTATAACCAGCCAATGTGGAAAATTATCCAAATAAGGTAGTGACTTTAACATTTGAATAATTCAAAACGGCCATTTTCATACATATCCAAGTCTTTGAAACATATTTAAAATTTTTAACAAAGAAAATATTATTTTTCGGTTCAAATTACGTATTAAATGTATAATTTATAAATTAAAAATATTAAAATACCGTTAATAAGTCAACACAGGGCAAAATTTTTATTAAAGGTAGTTTGATAAATTTATAGTTCATATTATACTTATTTGACTAAAAGACACATTTTTTATTGGCAAATAAAAAGAAAAAATAGTTTTTTTTTTTCTTATTAGGATTGGCCGAAGAATTTGCTGGTTGAATATGAAAACATTATACTATTTTTAACAAATGAAAAAGAAAAAGAAAAAAAAAAGTTTATTAGAAATGTTCTATAGTTGAAAACTTGAAATTTCATGTTTGAGACATCAAATTTGAATTCTAAAATAAATTTAAAAGAATTTAGAAAGAAAAAGATTACATTATGTTGTATAGCCTATATCATCTAATATATATATATATATATATATAAAAGAAAAGGTAAAATGATCTCTTTCATGTGGATAACATGTTTTTAGTAGTCTGAACTCAAAAATCTTTCTTCTAAAATGACATGACGAAGTTGTTCTAGTACAAGTGTTAATGGTCCTTGCTTCACGGGCACGGTTCATATATATATATAGATATATATATTACTTGAAAAGTCACTCACATAAATTAATTCAAATTTTTGTGATTACTTTATTTATTTATTTATTATTATTATTATTATTATTATTATTATTTTACATAATAAAAGGTAAAATCCTCTTTTATCATTTAATTTACTTATATATTATGTGATTTAAGTATAAAATTTCAAATAATCTCTTTCACTTAAAAAATATTACATCATTAGACCACATCATTAGACCACTTCAATAGTTAGCGTATATATGTGTTTTAAAACTAATTTAATAGGTTAGATTTGTGGGTTGAGGCATATCTTGAGCCTTATGACAAGATAATATACCAACTCTCATATAAAATACTAGCATTTTAAATTAATCCACATATTGAACATTTCAAAATTCGGTCCAAATACAAACTTTCATATATTATAGAGAATTTACTAATGCATTAATTTACTTCATTTGGTCGTACTATATTTATCCATCAAGGAAATAGATTATTCATAATACATAGGTTAATTTCCTTGACACAATTTAATTAATGCAAAACACATGTAGTTAATTAATAGGGTCTCTGGCCAGCGTAGTTGCCCGGGGGATTATAGTTGCAACTAATCAAATTCCCACCGCCGTTGCAACTCACCTTAGCACACCCCAAGCGGACTGAGTTGCGCCACACAACCTGAGTACAGTGTTCACAAACCGCATTGGAGGCGCAACTATTGGAATTGTACTCATAGTCGGACTTCTCATTAACCGACGTCGCGACAGCGTCCGTGCCAGATAAGCCGGCGCTGCTCCATGCAAGGTTCTCACCATAAGGACCACCTGAGTGCACCATGTTGCAATCACCAATGTGCTGGCTGAGATAGTTTTGTGCATAGGCTGCAATAGTATCATCCCAAGACATGGGGCCCACGCCGACAGCCGCACGAGCAGTGTTGTGGGCGTCTAGGTAGTCTTGTGGTGAGTCTTGGGAGTGGGAGGGGATGACAAGGGCAAGGGCTAGGGCCAGGAGACAAGCGAGGGCCATAGAAACCTTGGAAATTCATTATTATTGCTTATAGAAGAAATGATAATATCTTTGAGTTGGGTTTGAGGCACTGAATCAATGAATTAGAGGGGTATTTATAACCAGCCAATGTGGAAAATTATCCAAATAAGGTAGTGAC